TTGGTCCTCAAATCGTTTGTGCTGTATATACAGCATGATTTGTACAGAGATCTATTCGTCTTTATATAATTCCATTATGAAATATGATTTAAAACATAACATATTTATGTTTGTTTCCCTGTCATTTAATTTGTTAAAACCATATTGATATTTCAGTTATATAGTGAGAAACGTTTCCCCCTAACAACTGTAAATAAGATTCAATCCCAACAGCAGAGTGTAAACCAAATTCGTGCTATGACTTTCCATTAAAACTATTGTTGGTCAGAGTTTGTCCGGAATGACTTGTAAATGGTCAGGTGTCACTGTGGTCAGATCGACGCAGCAGGTGGCCTTTCAGTAATGACCACACTGACCACAAGTATACTATTTCAATAGGAGAGCCCTAAGTGGTGATCCCACGGCTACCAATTATATAATGGCACATTAGCCAAACCTGTCAACATGATGTGGATATTCAACAACACACACAATTACCACATGTCAATTACGTTGTCTTTTTAGTTTCCTTTTTTCAAAGCTGACAAAGGTGATCATCGGAGATTCCTTTGGCACGTCTGACACCCTAATAGTACGAGTAATGTATGACTCCAGTTTCGCTGTGCTTTGAGATGTGTTTTGTGATGATCAGTGAATAAAAACAGCCCGACATTATATATTGTTTCATAAATGAAATATTTAAGGATATAGAAATATAATTGAATAAGTAAAAGATAAATATATAAATATAAATTTCGTTGTGTCTATTTTAGAATCTGCTGTTCAACATTACACGTTGTATTGATGGTTCGAACACTTCACAGAGAACACAAAATTATGGACAAAAATGATTATCTAGGTTAGAATCAAAATCCTCTATCGTCTTCTTTTATTCATCACTTTATACCAAGTAAATGATTCCCTATCGTGATTCTGTTTAACCCTATACGGCAAATCCTTGAGAATAAACTGACCAAGACATAATATACACAGATATTACATTTGCTTTTAATTAGTATTTTTTAACATATTTATAGAGTGATGGAGTTTTGATTACTGTTATATTACCGGAATTATCTTGTGTGTATTGTTTACGTTCATTTTGGTATTGCTTCGGTCCCTACCTTTTCGTGTCGTGTAAATTATAACTCTTGTTGATTTTCTTTTGAAATGTCATAAATCATACAGTGCTGTATTCGTGTTTTTACTTGACCCTATACGTTAACACAAAACTACTTTTCACTTAATTCTAGCGACTGCAGACTTTCAGTAAAAACGACAAGTATATATGTTTTCTTACAAGGAAGTTTACAACGGTCTTTGTTGAAGAATGTCGACATGCTTTGGGTTTATTATAATCAGATCAACATATAATAAAATTTCATATTAGGCGTCAATTTTTCATATCGAAAAAGGGTTTGCGTCTGAGATTCCAAGAAGACAAAAAAACAAAAACACGAAAAATAAGAAAGCACATGCTTCAGAGCAGTGCGGACTTCCAAACCCATTTGTGTTACTTGTTTCCCGTTAATGTTGGGATCAGATATGAATAAAACTAATACTTCAATTATGAGTTTATTATTTCGACATAAACGCAAATGACCTGGAAAGGCTGCAAATTCATCAACAAATTTATTGATAATTATATCAGATATCACATATGGTAAGCCTTTTTCAGTTATCTTGTTTTCCGATTGCTTTATATCTTATTTTCATGGCTTATATTAAAGAGTACGAGGTGACAAAATTTTCTTAAGCGAAAGGTCGATAAGAGAAAATCTACGTTGGAAATTGAAAATGGAAACAAAGCAAAGGCCTGTCAACATTTTACATAACTATTCCCTGAAGAGAAAATTACACTTTCACAACTTTAACAAATTGCAAAATATTTCCAGTTGTCCACCAGTCGTAAAACAAGTGCAATTGTATGCAAAATATCAGAAATGAATGCTACATATACGGCATTAATAGTTTTTTCGTATGAAGATTGTAATAAAGATACGTTAATAACATTTGAAATCTAGAAGGTGGCTTAGTAAAGTTAATATGATCGAAATAAATGTGAAAATCATATTTAGGACTTGTCCTAAAATCCCATAAATCAATACCCTTTGCAGTCTTCATACACGTAAAACAATTACTTAGATAAAAATATACCCTTTTGATTAGTGTTTGTAATTTATTTCGTTTTCCATCAATTCATTTGTTTATGTACTTGGCATTATTCTCTTTCTTTAAATTTTTTTTTTATTTCACATCAATAAGAAAAAAATTGATTTTTTTCACACAAAGACACATACGTCCCGCAATTATCGGTTTTGTTTATGTAAAATAAAAGGCAAATGTATAGAATAACATGGAAATATAGTTTAAATTTCTACCACTTACAACTTTATTTAATTTGAAAGTCTAAGGAAATAGAACGATGATTTTGCATATTTTCTGTTGTTGTAAATATTACGGAAGCGAAGCGCCATCACGAAAATCCATTGACCCCTCTATAATCATAGCTACGTTCTGGTCAATTAAGTTAACCATACAGGCATTAAATGCAGGGTTTGAATGTATAGATCTAGAAAAAGAAACATTCACTTCACATGTGCTTACATGGATCATAAATTAAGTAAATATTAATTGATGTATGCCTATCCTATAATTACTTCAGGTATTCTACAATGACTTGAAAAAGAGTTTATGCTCAAGGTGTGTTCAGGTTTACAAACACCCCCACATTCTAGTAACACTTTGACCGAATTTCATAATTATATTTAAAGCTTATTTATATACGTTTTATGTATATTTGAAAACAGCAATGCTTATAAATAATAATATTGTAATATTCACATACTCGTCCCATAAAGATCCACATGCTATCTATAACAATATTCGCCATATTTTAGAAAATTGATTCGGGAATGCATGAACGACGCAATTTAGATATGATAACTATACGGAGAAAGATAATGTGACTGATAAAAGTAACATAATGCCCTGTTTTGATGTATTATAATAACTGATTATTTACATTTGGATTCCTACAAATAATAACAAACATAAGATGAATTAGCCGATTTCATCTGATAAATAAAAACAAATTATAAATAGTTGTTATCTTTATCAATTCTCATAATTGTTCTTTTATTTTTGTGTGGAACATTATATTTGAGAAGATAATGTAACCAATTCGAGGAAAAATTAAAGTGTTCCTATCTGATGTTTTATAACGTTATTTCAAAGACTTTGTGTTTGCTGGCATAAACATGTTTTGTATAGATGAAGATATGACTAAATTAACTTCTAAGATATTATAGTAGATATGACTAAGGTTTATATGAAAATAATCGTAGATAATGTCGAGAGTAGTGCGAGACTCAGTATTGTAGATACATATCAAAATATAATTGCAGATATGTTCTTGATACATATGTTTTCCGTGACATTGAGGTGTATTTTATTTCCAAGTTATTTGATCATATGTGTGAGTTTACGCTTCTCACATCACACGTATCAGTTCATCACACTGGCGCATTACTAGCTTACAATACAAATACGCAAAAAAAATGTGGCCAAATTGAAAGATTTAAACATTTGTAACAAGTCATAAATTAAATGAAATATTTATATACAACAAATAACGACGATTTTTAATTTTTATTTTCATGTGAAAAAACATTATCAGACGTTCTATGCTGTCTTCTTGTGTACACAAAGCTTGCCTCTAATTGGACTAGGTAGCCAATACACATCATTGTCCTGACGGAAGGTATACTAGGAATCTGAGTATCTCACACAAGGTTTATCACAGGTAAACACTTCGACTGACACGTCATGAATCGTGTCATAGTAAATACAAAAAATATGTGACATAGTGTTGAAGAAATTTTCTCCTTTATATGAAACCTGAAACACCCGAAAGTAAACAAATTTGATTCTATCGGGAAGGTGGGAAAACACCACACGAAAAGTTATATAGATATGATCAGTACAGTTCATTAATTTATACATTCATGTTTTCAATGATAATTGCAATATTGATTTGCGTATAGTGTAACAATAAGCGAATGATGTTTCTTTGTTCATAAAAAATATGATTGTATGGTGATAGCATGTGTCCAGAGGGAGATGTGGCCTTCTACCTGCCTGCCCTGCTACACCGCTGTAGAGAGACCATCGTGTGTGCGAGCTACAAAAACGCGTCGTGTGTGGTCTGAACCGACCAACTCACCGCTAGTAATGCCTGGTGCCCAATGACCGACCATAGACGCTGCCAATGGGGGGATTTAGAATTTTGGCAGCATTGCAATTTTTAAAGAATAAAAAGCTGGCAGGCATATTAATAACAATCAACTCTACAAAATTGATAACTTGTTAAGAATTGGGTGTATATACTTGTCTCTATACAAACCCCGGTTCGTAAAATATATAATGTGTAGACTAAGAATCCATGTAATTTCTCTCGTCGTTAGACACTGATACTTTGCTAACTATAATCTCTTTATGTGAAGACAGAGGTGGATGATATAGTGAACAGGTAGAGTGGGAGACTGATGATGAGGTTAAATCCTTTTAATATCTTAAAAACCTGTTCAGATTTCCCTCAATATCTCACCTGGCCAATACGAAGCCAACTGGTGAAAGTGGTGGGCCGCGCGACCCAAGCCAGGTAAACAGACGACCGAAGGGTAGGGAGTTGTGACGTCACATTCACAAGTTTCGCCGTGTGCGGTCTCAGGGAGATTTAGAATGTTGCTAAACATTTGTTCAATGGGGGACTCCCAATTCTGTATAAACCCCAGGCAAGGGGAACTGTCAAAGTAGAACGATCTGTAGGGGTTCCATGGCAAGTTTAAAGCTGTGAATGCATACCTGCGGAAATATATCAACGATACCTGCCAAAATATGCACATTATTAATTGGAGATATTTAGTGGTGTTCTATCTATATAAGGTTTTCCTAACTTCATCTAATTAACAATATAGATGGAGCTCCTTCACTTTACGGAAAGCAGAGGAACTTTGTGAATGGATTTTGTCGAAATAATAGCAGGCTCCTACAAAATGATATTACTTTATAATTATACTATGAAGAAGCATTTCCTTCCAGTTGCTTTAATTTTAATAGCCGGGGCATCTGTTTGCGTCGCCAGAAGAAAGAGAGAAAAACCCGAATTACGTTTCTCAGATTGCGGTAAGTGTATTCTTATTAATTTACATGTATAAAATATCCATGTTACTTTTTTCGTTTTACTTAAATTTCATTTTCTAATTTTCCAGTTATTATGATAAGTTTATATTATAAAATGCACTGGATTCTCGTAAAATTACTCTTTCGACAAAAAATGATGTTTTCCAACTCATTTTATGAATTTTAGTCACCAAAAAGTTTAATTAAGGCATTTTCATAAATCATAATGCGCCAAAATTAGACTCAACGTCATTTGAAAAGGGACTTTATTTCGCACTTTTCTAAAAATAAAACAGTACATCTTCCGTTAATCTTTATTATTCAAATGCCGACCAAAGCTTCCTTAATCATCATACACCAATATTAAGAAGCGGAAGATATTTATTTTATTTTTAACTATTACACAACTACAAACACTACAGTTGTAATTTTCTGTACGCATAATAGCGAAGTGTAAGTTACTACATATATTTCCAAACTATCGATCTTATTTTTATTTTCATTAGCTGTTACAATTTCCCTTATTCAAATCATATCTGCATTATAAGACCGAAAAGGCACGTGTCATCATACAGAGAGTTACAACCATGTTCGAACTGAATAATTGGTCATGCTTGTGACTTCTGATATCTATCATTAAAATTCACTCAATTGTGCTAACTAATTTCAACGGTAATTGTGAAGTAGACGTGTATGTTGAATTGTCATTGTATTGAAAACTACTATTGGTAAGTATTCTTTAACACCATTGTCAAAGTAAAGTTGACGGAAACCTCCGGGAACGTTTTCTAACACTGGGCTGTTATATTTGCCATAGAACGAACGCTTAATCAAAGAAATACCTCGATCTTTTGTTACAATACTCAGAAAAAATTCCGTTTGGATAGAGAGGAAAATTGTCTCGAAGATAAATGATTTAAGGGTATTGGATGTTGATGATCAGATTTAATTAACATCCTGATGATATAAGTTATGGATTAAAACACATGACTGATATTTACTTTCGATCAGTAGTCAGTTTTAGTCGAAGTTGTAGTGTTTAACTGGTTTTTGGATTAATAGTATTGTCTCATTGACTTTTTCGTCAGTCTTAATCACGCGGTATTATTTTCAACGTTTGATAAATATGTTTATATAATCACTTATTTATGAAAATACTGGTGATAATAATCCAAGCTTAAACGTACATATTTTCATAGTTTGTCGACTGTAAGGATCAGAGAAAGCACAACGTTTAAAAACAGTTGTATCAGGAGATGACAGTGATAAGTTGTGATGTCACTACGATCTCATATAGCACGTCATTGTTGTTTTTGGAGGTTATGATTTATATACCACTGTGGTGAATTACCCGCTCCGGTGTACACATAAAACATAACACAAGACTGAAACTATTTCCTTTCTCCATCCACCGATTTAGAACTCTTTAAGCACGTTCTCCTATACCTACTTCAGTTTTATGAATGAACGTATTTTACGATATGTACACCGTTGGTATATCAGCGCCACTTACACACTGGAGGCTATAGGAATGGTATTTTAAGCCAAACCTTACAGCGTATTTGTCAATGTTGTTAAAAATAAATTTGTAGCTTTCATAAGCACTTAACATAAACATCTGAGGTTAACTCGACCCAAACAAATCTCCATCACAGCGTCGCACATACTCCCACACTGACACACCTGTTACTAAACCACCATCGGTTGTTGAAGCCGAGTATCAGTGAGGCTGACTACTCTCTGAAACGGATACGTGGTGAAAACACGGAAACGAACTATCAGTAGCGTTAACAATGGTGATGTTGCTTGGTGTTTGAGCTTTCAGAAACATTTCATGTTTAGGTTCGGCAGGAATCAACCAAAACGATGTTAACACTCAACATGTTTCACATACATTGTCACAAATGCGAGAAATGTAAATTTTGTAACGTCTCTAAAAATGTATGAAATATTAACAGTTGAGATTGGTTGTATTTTACATATTTAAATATATCAATACTGAAATAAAATAGTATTACCTGTACTTGTTGCTTATCTATGAAAAGTATCATTGCAGCGTTTGTTTTTATCAGGAAAATAAATTTATACACCTTAGATTCAAATCGCGTTCCTTAATTTTGATGAGAAAAATATCAGAAAATTGCATTATCAAAATGACACAATACCAATACGAATTGTATTTTGAATAATTACTGGATTCCAGATTAAAACATTATTTATCGCTATTTTCTTTATCAAATATGCCATTTATTTATATTTTTATTCCGTGTAGAAAACTAGCAGAGTTATTGAGTAGGTTTGGGCATAAGAAAAATGAAAATAAATCGAGTATGTAATTATCATTCGAGTCTAGGGTACCAGCCACAGAGAGATTGTTTCCGCTTTGTGATGCTGGTCATTTCACACCAAAGCAAGAAGGTGATAAAGTCAGAAGGGAAATTATACTTATATAGCTAGGTAATATCTACAATACCATTATAATACAACAGCAGTAGAATATGGCGTTTTTACCAGCACCCAAACCATTTTGTCTTTTGAGAAACACTATTTCGAAAACAGGGAATAAAACGCACATTTGAAAAAGAAGTACACATTTAAAAGAAATATCAAATGTCACAATCTATCGGGAAATATACATTAAAAACAAACCGAAGTCTATGCTATAACTTAAACGAAATAAATGGCCGTTTGTCTTTACGACAGATAGAAAACAGATGATTTATAGTGTTGATGGTTTTGATAAATTCATGCCCGAGATTTAATCGATGTCTTTGAAGTCAGTGTGCAGAACCTCGACCTAACGGGAAACACGATAAAGACACTATGTAATGGACCTACCAGAAGCATGACTCCGATAGATAGCTTTTCATTAAGGGGGCACACAACAGCCCTGATAATGTGTTTAACGTTTTCATGGGCACGATGGAATTAATTTTCCCCATCGATATGAGTAATGGTGATTCGCCAGAAATCAAATGTGGTAGTTGTCTGTTAAATAATGATTCATGTCAAAAACTATTTATCTGATTTGTTTTCCATCGTCAGTATAATGTCCATATTTAATTAAGTTTTACTTTTTCATATGATTATATAAGATAACCTTGAGATACGATGCCGTTGAAAGGTGCGTTAGTATGGTAATTAAGCTTAACATTTCTACACAGCCGAGAACCGCTGATTTTAGCAATGAGGAACACAGTATACTTGTAAAAGGTTCGTAGAAATGACAGTGACCTCTGCTACCAGAACATCAATCATCAGTCCTAACAACTCCATACATAAAGTCGATAGTTACATAATCAGATCCACTTTGGTGGTCTTGCTGAGATGAATACCATCGAATAGTGAGGTGTGAAATTCAATTTATCTCTTTCAGATGTAATCCGTTTCATTGAAGAAATTCTACGGCAATGTTTATTTGAATTACTGAAAAATTGTAATGTGACTATGTTTAGGAAAACAATTATTAACCTACCATTGGCGTCTATAAAATGAAATATATGACAACTAGAAAGTCCATGGAGATGTAAGACAATCTAAAACACCAGAAACACCAAACCACACAAAAGCGATTAAAACATCGACCACTATAAATATATATAGATGATCAATGGAGTAATAGCAACAGTACAGACAAGCTAATTGTCAAATTTTCGAGACAACCTGCCCCTTTATCAAGACACAAATATCACATAAATTACATCATATACATAGACCATAAAACAAATACAAAGTTTTAACTCTAAGTCAAGAGCGGTGGTGTAAACTTATGTGTCTCTATAATTCCTTCGGCCAATGGACGCTCTTTTTAACAGACAAAAAAACCATCCCAAGTTGTTGTAAGTAAGATGGTGATTATATATATATATATATATTAGGAAGAAAGAGGAGTTTATGTAACAAAATAGTCATACTGCAAAGTAAAGAGTGAAATCCCATCATGTTAACAGTTCTGACCATCGTGTTCACCACGTCGCCCTTGTTAATGTCATACTGATGGATAGAAGTGGGTTTTCATGTTAATTCTTAGGCATCTGTTCACTAGAACCTACAGCTACTACAGGTACAACAAATTGAGGCTTTTGCGCTCATTCACGGAAAACTGAACCATTTTGTTGTTGTGGGGTTACCTATCAATTCATTCATGAAAAAACTTAACGATGTTATAATGAAAGAAAGTTATGTGCGTGACGGTCTCGCCCTCCATAACACGCGTGCTGAGTGAAAACTTTTTCCAAACTACATACTGTCCTTTGTATTTGTTCTCCGACATGGAAAATGGGATAATTTTCATACAACTGATGAGTTACGACGTACGACAGAGCTTACGCGATATCTATATCTGTTAATCTGAGATAAATGAACATGATATTTCCGAGACTGCAAGCTTTTCTCGTTAAATGATGCTTTTTGCAGAAAATGTCATAAAGATGCACACCTGTACATTAAATACCTGTGGTTCAGGTGTGCATTGCACTTATAGTACATATGAACCTTTCGGAAAATTGTTTACCGTTCCTTTTATGCAGTCATCAGTTAATGTAGCATAGGTGTACAAACCCGTTTGTTCAGCACTCGTACCATTGGTAAAGGGTTTTACCGTATAAGGATGTAGAACAGGTCTGTGTCATGTCTGCAGTATCGGCATGTTCCTTACCTGTAATAGAGGTGTGTACCGTGCCTACAGTATCGGTATGTTCCTTACCTGTAATAGAGGTATGTTCCTTACCTGTAATAGAGGTGTGTACCGTGCCTACAGTATCGGTATGTTCCTTACCTGTAATAGAGGTGAGTGCCATGCCTACAATATCGGTATCTTCCTTACCTGTAGTAGAGGTATGTTCGTTACCTGTAATAGAGGTGAGTGCCTTGCCTACAGTATCGGTATGTTCCTTACCTGTAATAGAGGTGAGTGCCGTGCCTACAGTATCGATATGTTCCTTACCTGTAATAGTGGTGTGTACCGTACCTACAGTATCGGTATGTTCCTTACCTGTAGTAGA